TTATATTTTGTGCTATTGTATTTTGTTCTGTATTTTTTGCTCATTTAAAGAAAGACATAGGTATATTTTGTTTTTTATGGTGATGACCTGTAAGCCTCACACTTGATTCCCTGCAGTATGATTTCTTTCTGAAATGAGAAATGTGTGGGCACGTGCTCACTTCTCTCCATCTCTGCGTCCACCCCCTCCCCCCATTGTATTGCGATAATCCAGAATTTCAGTTCTGTATTGTTATATAGATAGATCCTGCTTTTGTTTTCTTTAGTGTTTTATTTTTTTGAAGCAAAAGAAAATACTAGCTGATATTTCAAATTTATTGTGTTTTGAGACACAGTCTCGTGTATTCCAGGCTGGCTTTGAAATATATATCTCCAGGAATGACCTTGAACTCCTGATCTACCTGCCTCTGCTTCCTGAGGTGTACACCAACATGTCTGTTTTTTGTGGTTCTGAGGATAAAACCCAAGGCTTCATCAGGGCAGGTAAGCACTCTGCCAACTAAGCTATGTCCTCAGTCCTTGATTTCTTTTTTGAGACTGTATTCACTTTTATTTTATGTATATGAATGTTTGCCTGAATGCATGTCTGTGTAACATGTGTGCACAGTACCAGAGGCCAGGAGACAGTAGGTCTCCTGGGGCTGGAGTTACAGATGGTTGTGAGGCTCCATGTGGTTGCTAGAAATTGAACCCTGGTCCCTGGAAGAGCAGCCAGTGCTCTTAACCTCTGAACACCTGTATGGACCCAGCCTCTGATTTCTTCTTCTTCTTTTTTTTTTTTTTTTTGTAATGACTCCTGCAGTTGTGTCTAGCCTGACTTGAATACTGTCTCCAAGAGTGACTGCAAGGTTGACCTTTGATGGTGTGTTTTAAGAGCTTAGATGCCTGAGCATCTATTTTGCCCTTAAGTTGTATAATTTTGTTGAATGTGACAGTCAAGGAATCAAGTTCTTGACCTCCTAGTATTTAATTACCCTGTTGTCCTCATGTGTGAGGAGCTTGGCACCATCTGAGTCTGGAATTTCCTCACTGTTCTGCTGTTCTCAAAGGCTGAATCCAAGCAATGCTCTCCTCCTCTCTCCTGGTACCCCAAGGTGCCTTCAGGGTGTCTTGCCCCACAGGATCTCTGCTTGCTGCTGACCTTCCCATACTTCCCATTGGCTGCGACCCCTTGGCCAGGTTCTTGTGTCAGAGTATAACACTAACAAAAAAGATTTATTGAGACCCTCAGGCTTGGAGGGAGGGAGGAAGGGGAGAGGAAGGGATGAGGTGGTGTGTGATTCGGTGGCTCCCCTTTGTGCTGGGATGCCTTAGGCTGAGGCTTACCTCTGCTTCATGAGGCTGATCTCATGAAATTCTCGTGTGTGTGTGTGTGTGTGTGTGTGTGTGTGTGTGTGTGTGTGTGTGAATGTGTGTATGTGTTGTTAGGGGGAAGTCTTCCCCTGTGTATGAGGCTTCCCCTAAGGTTTTTTCCCCATGTAGTCTAACTCCCCTGTCTGTCCAAGCCTGGGTAGCTGAGGGAGTATTGCTCTATGGAGGTGTTGCGTGCAGCATCTTGATTAATCTTTATGGCATCCAACTACTGCATTGTCCCATTTTACAGATGAAGGAGCCACAGCCTTGAGAGATGCCTCCACAAAGCCCCAAGGGCCAAAAACAAGGCTTATTTGTTGAGCAGTCAAGATCTGGAATCAGAAGTCAGCAAGCCCCTGGCGGCACTGCTGTACACTTGGCTCTGCCCTTGGCTGAGTCCCAAGCCATAAATGTCTCCACTTCCTGCAGGGAGGTGTGAGGCACAGAATTTAGCACGGTGGGGACCAGAGCTCAGACCAAGCACATGCTATTGTCACCAGAGGAATAAACCAGAATATTACCCAACATGCATAGCACGTAGTGGTGCTCACTAAGAGGCTGGGTACTTCTGAGCCTGGGTGGGGATGGGGACATAGTAGAAGGATTCATTCCTGTGTACCACACCATCAAGGCCTGAATGTAGACAAAGAGGAGGACTGTGGGGAGCTCAGCCTTGATAGAAGGGTCATGGGGCAGATCATGGGGTACTAAATATGGAGGGGTCAGAAAGAAGACCATGAAGTGATGGCCCTGAGCAAGCAAGGCTGAGAGGAGGGAGGGGGTCTAGGGATTCAGTTCTGTGGACACATGGCCTGTTGTTGCTGGGTGGGGTTTGGCAAGCAATATTTCAGATCACAAGGGCTCTGAGATGGGCTTGTAGGCTTTCTGCTTATCTTTCAGGAAGTTGTTTTCGAAATGAGAGGGAGAAACCAGAATTTCTCTGTGGTGGGAACTGACTTAGCTGGTGCCAGCCTGGCAGTCAAACCAGCACTTGAAGAGAAGTAGACCCCACCTACCTAATTCCTGGGTGGGGAATGAGGCCCCAGGGCCAATAATAAAGATTCTTTGTTGAGTCAGCAAGCCCCTGGTGGCACCTGCTATATATCTGGATCTGTCCTTGGCTGAGTTCCCTCCAGGGAGGTAGAGAGCCCAGAAACTAGCCTCATGGGCTCTGTCCCACTGCTGATCCTTTGCTCTGTGTGGGAGGCTGTGCTGGAACAAGACTTCTGTTACTGCACAGAGCAACTGCCAACATGACTGCTTTGCAATGTGAGAGAAGCTTTTGTATACATTAAATCTTGACGGTGAGGGATGTTTGTCAGCACCAGTCAGGCACACTGACCGGGCTTGAGACCTCGGGATGTCAGCTGTGCCCAGCCTGTTTCCCAGGACCCCACACCTGTGTTCTTTTGCCTTCCCTGGTCACGGCTAGCTGTGTGCTAAGTGTAAAGGACTTAGCTAGAGCCATCCAGGCCCATAGTTGCTGGCTGGGGGGCAAGATTTTCTAGACAGAGACCTTACAGTATCTCCCAGATCTGCAGAGGGTTGGTGGCCTCCAGATGCTGAGGAGTGGGACTGATACAAAGAGAGCACCAAATGACGGCAGACACTGAAGAGCTACTGTAAGGGAAATGGGACAGTTGGGTGTTGCTGGCCACCTGCTCATTTTTGGTACATTCTTTTATTCAGATGTTGTCTTCCTATTCAGGGCCAAGTCATCTTATGTATTTATTTACTTACTTACTGACTGACTGTATTTTTTTTTTTTTGAGACAGGGTTTCTCTGTGTAGCCTTGGCTCTCCTGGAACTCACTACTTAGACCAGGCTGACCTCGAACTTGCAGAGATCTGCCTGCCTCTGCCTCCCGAGTGCTAGGGTCAAAGGTATGTGCCACCACCACCCAGCTGACAAGTCATCTTATAAATCAAATAAATATATTGGCTCCTGACCTATAGTTTGTTTAGTAAACATTTCTCTGCAGTTTGTAGTTCTCTATCGTTTATTTTTGTTTGAGATGTTTTTAAGTATGCAGCTGACTGATTAGCTTTGTCTCTATGACTTGCCCTGGTGGTCAGGCACAGACAGGCTCAGGGTTCACTGTTGGCCTCTGGATTTGCAGCTGTCTTAGCCAGGTTCTCTTCATACTGATGGAGGACTCTCTGTGGGTGATTCTCAGCTGAGCAAAGTGAAGGCCTGCAGGGAGGGCTAACCAACGCAGGAGTGATTTGGCTCTTCTGAGATGTTAGGGGTGGAGCAGGCCTGGATGGAGGGCAGAGGGCCTGAGTTTAGGTTTAGAGGGAGGTCTCATGTCCTAGAGTCCTCATTCAAGGTTGAAAATACATCACATTTCCTAAATGAGGCTGGTGACACTATCTAGGAGGCCGCCTAGACCTAGGACAGTGGCCCAGCCAAATGAGACTTGGGGCAGCAAGTGAGAGGTACCTACAAAGGGAGAAGACTTGCTGAGGCTTATTAGCAGAGGCCTTTGCTGCCCCAGGGGTTTTAACCCTATAAAATCCAGGCCCCTGTGACCCTTGACCAGGGATCTATCTACACAGCAGGCTGGGCACTGACAACCCCAGTGACTTACATGGCTGCTTCAGGCTCTGGTGCTCTTGCAACTCTTTTGGGCTTTGCTGTCATGCCAGTATCATGGTGCACAGTCTCTATGAGGGCCTTGGTGGTAGCTTGGGGAGCAGAGGTCAGCCTGGGTAGGGGAGGCTGAATTGGGGATGAGCTGGCAGGACAGGAGGCTCTGTGGAGAGGTGGATGGAGCCATGGTCTGGGTCCAAGGGTACCACTCACCGCTGGGTTCTGACACCCCATTTTCCAGGTGCACAGAACAGGGCTATTAAGTCTCCCATTGTACTGCTGCTATTAGTCACTTGTCCTCTGTGCCTACCTTATTCTGTTGGCAGCAGGGATAGGACAGAGGGCAGGAGAAAGAGGTGTCAGGTAAGAGTGTGGAGCAGGAGTGGGGCCAGCTCAAACATCGACTTCGTTCTTATTCTTTTTGATGCTTCCAGCTACCCCAGGAGTCAGTGATGTGAGGTAGATGAGGGGCCAAGCAGCTCGCCGTGTTTCAGCTGAGCGCCTGTGCTTAGTTTCGGGTTCCTATCCCCAAGTGCAACACTGGGAGCTGGCCCTAGATGCTGGGCTAGCGCTGTTGTAGGGGCTTCTGAGACAAAGGGGGAGTCTGGGAAAGCCACCACTCATGCTGTTCTCACTGAGGGCCTTAGGGCTGTGTCAACAGGGACCCAGGAGGGTTGGGCCCTTAGGAACATGGCCTTCTAGAATGGGTGAGACTGTTGCCACTGGCTCTTCACCTGGGCAGGTGAGCTGCTCCTTACGGGGTGTCTGTAGTGCTGAGCCTCCTGGGGGCTGGGGCAGGAGAGCGTCCCCTCCCCCACTTCCCCTCCACCACCTCTGCCCTCTTGTGCTCTCACAGACACTGGCCACAAAACCCTGGAGGACTGACAGTCCCTGCCCTCTTCATCTAGGAGCTGGCTGGAAAATAAAAACCATGGTTAAAGAAGGACAAAAACAAACAACAACAAAAAAACAAGTGCTCTCTTTGTTTGTTTATTTCTGGCCAGATGGCTCCAAGGTAGATACCACATTTTTTTTCCCAAGCTTTTTTTTTTCTCCCCTGATGGCAGCATGATCAGGGATACCAGGCTAGGGTGGAGGATAGATTGAAGAACTCTGTAGGGAAGCTTACAGAGGAGGGATCCCATCCACCTAGAAGCACCAAGGGGCACTTGAGTGGCACAGGAAGGGTGCTGGGGGAGTTGGGCTAGGTGGGTCAGCAGGATCATTGTAAGCTCTGCCGAAACAAGGCATGGGGGACTGTGGGTAGAGGGCTCACTGGTACTGGTTGGGGGTGCATGGAGTCTTGCGATTGCTGTAGGACATGTCCTCATATACTACACACGGTGAGTCTTTATCCCTCGAGGCACATAGTTCCTGGATCTGAAAAGACAATGGCAGTGGCCAGCATGGTGACCTGGGCAAAGTGTGCCTGTCTCCAAGCAACCCCTTTTTCAACAAGCAGTTTCCTCAGACCTGGGGCGCTGGTCAGGCTCCATCTGCACCTGGTAGGGTCAACTGCAGGCAGGTCCCAGGGCCAACAGCTGAGTGGTCAATAAGAGCTGACCACTGTCAGGACCCTTCTAGCCCAAGCCCTTTCCCCTTCTCACACAGCACATGGGGACTCAATCAGATACTCCACATACCCCATATTCACATATGTATGTGCACACTCATGAATTTCACATACCATACACACACACACACACACACACACACGCATATTCACACACGTGCTATCTCACTTTGCTATGCACAGGGGCCTGGTCAGAAGCCCCACACTCTACCTCTAGGCTTCGTTTTGTGTCCCTGCGTGATGCCTTACTCACACCCCTCTCTGCTCCTTCAGTACTTTGCCATGTGCCCCTGACCAGACCTTTGGCCTTAAGCCTTCTCTCTCTCCTTCTGTCAGCCCGTGAGAAGGGCCAGCTTGTTGGTAACAGCCATAGGTTCACACTGACCTGTGTTTTCCTCAGTGTGCACAGCACCCCAAGGACCAGCCCCATGAAGAAGGAGCCTACAGCCAGGGCAGCTGGGAGGGAAACTGATATCCTCAGAGGTTCCTGGGATCTGTATGCTTCTTGGGACAGTTTTTCTGGGAAGATGAACAGAAAGAGCCATTGGCAGGAGAGGACTCTACTCAAGGCCTTGGGGTTCAAGCCAGGGAGGAGATAGCTGAGGTGATAGCTGAGAGGCAGCCACCAGGATGCTTCCAGGAACAAATAGGCTCTGAGCAGACAGTTCCAGCAAGTGAAAAGAAGGTCCCCACAGCCAGCAGGCTCCTGGCCTAGCCAGCGGTAGATGGGCACATTTCCTACCTGTTACCACAACCATGGTGGATGAGCCATGGCTTGGGCTTCTTCTGACGGCCTCGCAGAAGTAGACTCCAGTGTCTGTCAGTCGGAGGAGGCGCATGGTGATGGTCAGGTTGTTCTGGGGACCGGAGAAATCAATTCGGCCTGAGAAGCGCTTGTCTACTGTGGACTCCTTCCCATCTTCAAAGTAAATCACATCGGAATCCTGTGGCCAACTCTGCTTCAGGTAGATTCCTTCCAAGTCTCCCATTGTAGAGCAGGTAATGTTGATGGAATCCCCCTCAGAGGCCACCATGACTTGGAAAGACTGCTGCATCTCTGTGAAGGACCAGCCATTTTTACCACTGTGCTGGCAGACAGCTCTTTCTGCCTTCCCACACAGCACATGGGGACTCAAACACATTAACACATATCTTAGCGACTCCATACATCCCACGCTCATATATGTCCACGCACATTCAAGCATCCCCCACAGCACACACACGTGTATACTCACACACATGCTAACTCTCTTTGTTATGCACAGAGACCTCATACTCTACACCTTTAGGCTTTACTCTCCCATTTTGTATTCCTGTAAGATGCCTCTCTCAAACCCCTCTCTGAAGTACTGGTGTAGGGACTTGAGGCCAGTCCTGTGGTCAACCCTGTGCTAATGTGGCACTTCAGAGAAGGTGCTGTGGGGACCTTGGAGCAGCACTAGGTGCTGACACAGTTGTGACTATGCCCAAGTTCTGAGCAATCCATGGGCTTCAGGGTGGGCTGTCTGCAACTTTGTTGCATCCCAGCACTGGGACTTCTTCCCTTTTGACCACTCCCTCTGCCCCCAGGCTCTATCCTTTGTCTCTCTTAGGTGAGTCAGTCCCCAGACAGCCACCCTCCTCCTCCTCCGTCATTTCCAGGTATCCCCACTCTTTCAGATCCCAGCCTAGTTTGCCCTGCCCGGAGCGTACAACACCCGTTTTCCTGTGTACACCAGACTGAGTGCCAACCTCAGCATCGCACACACTGAATGCTGCGCTGGTTTTTTGTTGTTGTTGTTTTTTTTTTTTTTGGTATAAGAATTGTGCCTGGGAGGGTGCCTGAGCCTCCATACTCTTGGTGCAGATTTTTTGCCTCTTACCACAGGACTTCCCACAGCTGCTCTGAAAGGGAACTAGAGGACAGTCCTCACTAGCAGCAAGGGCGATTGTTAGCCATGTAAACAAAGCTTTCAAGCCCCCACTTTTCCACAGAGCAGAGACTACTCTAGGACCCTGAAAGTTCTGGGACTCAGGGACATCAAGCTCAGCAGCAACCCTTCCCAGGCAGGAGTGTGAGGTGCTCCCTGGAGCCCTGCGGTGCAGAGAAATGCTTACCTTGGGCATCCAGGGGGCCAGGCAGGACTCCAGCCAGTGTGAGCAGCAAGGCCAACATTGTCTCCTGAGCCATGTTGCCCACATCAGCTGACCAGAGCCAGATCACCACATTACTGAGCACTGTGACAGAGATACCCCAAATACCCCGTGAGAGGAAGAAACAGGGGCGTGGTATTTCAGCACGGTTGGTTGGTTGGTGGTGAAGAGCAGAGGAGGTAGGGCTTCCCGGGGGGTGGGGGGTGAAGGTAGAGACTTAGAGGGCAGAGAAGCACAGCAAGCTAGGTGGGGGAAGCTAATTACATCGCCACCTGACTCTACCTGCCCTCCTTAGCTGGTTGTCTGGTCCACCTCTTCACCCCAACCCAGAGTTTCCACAGGAGACAGTCAAGAGAGAGAAGAGATAAGGGCTAGGCTTGCGACTGTAGTAGAAAGATAAGGGGGTTAGATGGTTAGAGGCCAGGAGGCAGCTGAGATCTGCTTTTTGGTGTGATTTTTCTGCTGGGACATGCTCAGGTCTATGGTGTCACCTGTCAGCTCTACTCAATGGAGTCTCAGTACTGGCATCACAGAGCACACATGGCTATGGCCTCAGAGGAGAAGCCAGGTGTGGGTCCTAGGCCGTGGTTGCCTTGAAGGCCTGGATGCTCCTTCCTTAGAAGCAGGGTTGAGTCAGACCTGCTGGGTCAAAGGGTGGTAGAAACACCTTCAACAGCAGCCCACCTGGGGTGAGAGTGAGGGCCCTGTGTCCAGCTCCCAGGTCAAGGGAAATCTAGGACTCTTGCCTACCACAGAGCTTTATTTGCCAGTACCAGAGCCAGTGTGTGTCACAGTGAGGCTGAGCTTTGGTGTGTGTACACTGTCACATAGGGGCCTAAAGCCAATTCCTCTGTGGGGTCCCACTCTGAGTGACTGGAAGATGCTCCTCGTATGGGTAGATTTGGAGTGTTATGATGTGGACGGAGTACCATGTGGGGCACTCCAGGGCACATGGGAGAGGAACTCGGGTAGTGGAAGGTCAAATTTGGAATGTTTTAGGAACAGAGGATTGATTAGGCAGGGGCAGGCCATTTGTGTTCAACAGAGGGACAACAGGTATAGAACCCTGTAATTTGAGGAAATGGGAGAGAAACATGAGGGGAGTTGGGGCAGGTGGGCAGTAGGGGAATCATCACTCAACCCCCAGAGGAGAAGATCATGAAAAGATAGAAGTTATAGGGAAATGAGAACATTCAAAGGCCTTAACCTAGTCTCCCTGCTTGGATTCCTGTGGCCATATAAGGGGCACGTGGACTGGACTAGTGACACCCCCAGGGCTGACCTTGATGTAGCTGTCATGAATGAATACTTTTGACTGTTCTAGGTAGCATGTGGCAAGTTTCAGAGGTTATAGACACACTTGGCCCTGTGGACTGTGCCCAAATGTAACCCAGTGCTCCAGGGGAGATGAAGACCCAAACCCAATGGACTTCATTGATTAAAGAGACATAGCTTGGACGTCTAATACCAAGTGCCCCTGGAACCTGACAGCTGGGCTACCAACATTTATTATTGCTGTGAGTCAGAAAAAAGGAGTGTGACCATGATCTCCTGAAGCAAACTGATGTGGCCCTTGTTAGCACTGGAAACTCTTAGGGAGTGGAGAGGCTCTGAGATGAGGGATTCGGCTGAAGGGATGATGCCCAGTTGTTCTCTCTCTCTCTCTCTCTCTCTCTCTCTCTCTCTCTCTCTCTCTCTCTCTCTCTCCCTTGATCTCTCATTCTCTCACTATCTCCAGAACCTCACTATGTCACCCTGGCTGGTATGAAATCCCCTATGTAGATCAGGCTGCCTTGGACTTACAGAGATCGCCCTGCCTCTGCCTTCCAACCCTTCCTAACTCTTCCAAGTGCTGGGATTTAAAGACATGTATCACCACGTATTAATGGCAGAGGCAGTGGAACCTGAAGGTCAAGTGAATTAAGGAGCAAAATCCTAGGGTTTTCAAGGGTCATTCTGTAGCAGGAATCTTAAAAGGTCTTATTAATAAAAACAAACCTGGAAACAGGTACAGGGGTCAGTGCTGGAAGATCAGAGAAGCAGAACAAGCCACAGCTTCCTCACCTCGCCAATTCCTCAGCTGATCCTGTTTTCTCAGACTGGAAGCCTCTGAGTCATCATCCAGAATGAATCTCAGCTGAACTGCTTTTCGAAAGCCTGAATGCTTAACCAGCCAAAAAGCTTCTAGTTTCTGGTCTTCATGCCTTATATACCTTTCTGCTTTCTACCACCACTCCCTGGGATTAAAGGCTCACTTCTTGGGATTAAAGGTGTGAGTCACCATGTTTGGCTATATCCTTGAACACACAGAGATCCAGGTAGATCTCTGTCTCTGGAATGCTAGGATTAAAGGCGTGTGCTACCACTGCCTATCCTCTATGTTTAATATTGTGGCTGTTCTGTTCTGTGACCCCAGATTAGTTTATTAGCATGCACAATATTTTGGGGAACACAATACCATTACAGTCGTTCACAATTTATTTAGCAGCAACTGAATTTCTAGAAGTGCTGGGTGAATATATCTTGTTTCCTGTGGCTAATGTGTGACATTGATCTGTGGGTTCCTTTTCCTCTGAATTTTGTTGGGGTTGTGTGTGTGAATGCATAGCCACACACAGGATCAATCATAGATGTGTCTAGTGTCCTTGAACAAAGCACTGCATAGCTATTTCCTCAGAGTTGAAACTTCCCCTCCTTGTAGAACCCGGCACCACTATCCCAGGAATGACCTTACCCACAATGGGCTGGACCCTCCCCGCATCAATCACCAATTAAGAAAATGCCTTACAGCCTGATCTTATGGAGGCCGTTTCTCAATTGAGGTTCCCTCCTATGTCAGAATGTGGACCCAAGTAACAATCTCTTTCCACAGGCACCCTAACTGAATCCTGTCTCACTAGACTTACCACTTTTTCCATAGTTCTCATAGCAAAATATAAGTACAAATTTAATTCTCTCACATTTTTTTTTGCAAGTTTTGTCAGATATTGGCCTTTTAAGCCAGGCTCCATCTGTATCACCAAGCACAGAGAAAAGTCCATTCCTGTGGGCACTCTTTCATCATACAAAGACATCATTCTGTTACACAGGACAAAAAGAATCTGTCTCTCTCAAACCCCTAATTCCAAGGCAGCATATATGCATACAAGTCTCACAGGTATGTGCTTGCCACATGTCCAACAGACTCTAAATACAAATTCAACATTCGATCAAGTTTATCCTTAATTGTCGTAGTTTGCTTTCTATCACTGTTATAAAGATTATGACCGGTCTGGAGAGATGGCTCTGTAGGTAAGAACACTGCCTGTTCTTAGGATCCTTCTGTACACTGTGAATATGTGTTGCTCTCATTGGTTAACAATAAAGCTGTTTGGCCAATAGCCAGGCAGGATAGGGTTGGGTGGAAAAATCAAAGGAGGGGATGAAGAAGGGCAGAGAAGAACAGACAGGGAGCCATCCATCCAAGAAGCAAAGACACCAAAGGACCCACAAGCCATGGGCCACATTGTGGTGATATTGTGTCCCCTCAATATATGTGCACCCTAATAAACTTGTCTGGGGTCAGAGAACAGGACAGCCACTAGATACAGAGGCCAGAAAATGGTGGCACACACACCTTTAATCCTAGCATTCCAGAGGCAGAGATCCATCTGGATCTCTGTGAGTTCAAAGCCACATTGGAAACAGCCAGGCATGGTGTTTAATCCTTTAATTAATTAAAGGCACACACGCCTTTAATCCCAGGAAGTGATGACAGGAAGCAGAAAGGTATATAAGGTGTGAGGACCAGGAACTAGAGCCTGATTAAGCTTTTAGGCTTCTAGCAGCAGTTTAGCTGACATTCATTTGGATGAAGACTCAGAGGCTTCCAGTTTGAGGAAACAGGATCAGCTGAGAAGTTGGCAAGGTGAGGTTAGATGTGGCCTGTTCTGTTTCTCTGATCTTTCAGTGTTTACCCCAATATCTGGCTCCTGTGTTTTTTATTAATAAGACCCTTTAAGATTTGTACTACACCACATGGTGATGTATAGATTAATATAAATAGATTAATTTAAATGTAAGAGCTAGTTAGCAATAAGCCTGAGCTACTGGCTGAATGTTTATAATTAATATAAGCCTCTAATTTGGGAAGTGACTGATGGGTATTCAAAAACAGGCAGGCGGGAGAAAAGCCTCTGTTTACAGTTATAAAGATTATGACTGAGCTGGAGAAATGGCTTAACAGTTAAGAACACCAGCTGCTCTTCCAGAGGACCTGGGTTCAATCCCCAGCACCCATGTGGCAGCTCACAACTATCTGTAACTCCATTTCCAGGGGATCTGGCATCCTCACACAGACATATATGCAAGCAAAACACTAACGCACATAAAAATAAAATAAGTTACTAAAAAGATTATGACCAAAAGCAGCCTAGGGAGGAGAGGGTTTATTTGGCTCACAGGTCCTGATCACAGTCCAGCACTGAGGGAAGTCAAGGAAGGAACTCAAGACAGGAACTGAAGCAGACACAGAGGAATGTGACTTACTGGCTTGCTCCTTATGCCCATTCAGCTTTCTTTTTCATACAATCCAGGACCATCTGTCCAGGGTGGCACTGCCCAGAGTGGGATGAGTCTTTTCACACCAATCATTAATCAAGAAAATGCTCCCACAGACTTGCCTACAGGCCAATCTGATGGAGGCATTTTTTTTTTCAATTGAGGTTCCCTCTTCCCATAGGACCCTAGCTTGTGTCAAGTTGACAAAAAACTAACCAGAACAGCACTTGTCCTAACTTGTCTGCTTGGCAAGATTGTACCCTTTCTCAAGAAGCCCTTTGGATTCCTATTCTCGCTAACAAACAATAGTGGGTCCTGACAGGTCCCCTGAGTCTTACCTCTTGTGTTGGTTTGAATGAGAGGCCCCATAGCTGATTAGAGAAAGAGTTTCATCTCTGTCGTTGACTTGACCTTGCTCAAGTTTGAATACTTGGTCCCTAGTTGGTAGACTATTTGGGAACTATTAGGGGGTGTGGCTTTGTTGGGGGGAAGTGTCAC